TAAATTAGGTTTAGTTGATAGAGTACTTTGACTATGAAATATAGAGGGGATGGGTGTTTTTATCTGCAAGCTCAATTCCTATTATATATAAAAACCTTTAAAACATCAATTGCCCTGGCAGGTGTGACTCAGTTGGTTCAGTGTGGTCTCATGCAAACAAAAATGTATTTTGGGGTGCATCACTAATGTTTGCTTCCAAAGATTCGGCCCTCCCTAACATAATGGTTCTTTGTATGTATATATGTGTGTGTGTGTGTGTGTGTAATATTGTTTTATTTTATTGATTTCAGAGAAGAAGGGGGGGGGGAGGATCAATGATGAGAGAGACTCATCAATTGGCTGCCTCTTGCATGCCTGCCTCTTGCATGCCCCCTGCTGGGGATCGAGCCCACAACCTGGGCATGTGCCCTGACCGGAAATCGAAATGTAACCTCCTGGTTCATAGGTCGATGCTCAACCACTGAGCCATGCTGGCTGGGCCTAACAATAATTCTTAAAATGAGAGTGTATTTGCAAATGATGCATCAAATAAAGGTTTGATGGCAAAAATATATAAGGAACCCATACAGGTCAATAAAAAATAATCGTATCAGAAAATGGCCATACAGTATGCACCTCTGCAGCACTTATGCTAGAAAAAATGGGCAGGAAGACGTTTCTCCAAAGAAGACATACAAATGGCCTACAAATATGAAAAGATGTTCAACATCACTAATCATCAGAAAAATGCAAATTAAAACCACAATGAGATACCACGTCACACTTGTCAGAATGGCTATCATCAATAAGTCAACAAATAGCACGTGATGGCAAAATGGGGAGAAAGAACAGTCATGCACTGTTGGTGGGAATGCAGATTGGTGTATCCACTGTGGTGGAAAACAGTATAGAGATTCCTCAAAAAACTAAAAATAGATCTAGCAATTCTAGTTCCTGGTATTTACCCAAAGAAAGCAAAACATGAATTTAAAAATACATATACACCCCTGTGTTCTCTGCAGCATTTTTTACAATAGGCAAGCTATGGAAGCAACCTAGGTGTCTACACAATAGAATATTACTCAGCCATAAAAATAATGAAATCTAACCCTGTCCAGTGTGACTCAGTGGATAGAGTATTGGCCCATGCACCCAAGGGTCTTGGGTTTGATTCCCAGTTAAGGGCATGTACCTGGGTTACAGTTTTGAACCCTAACCTCATGCAGGAGACAACCAATTAATGTCTCCATCACACTGATATTTCTCTCTCTCTCTCCCCCTCCTTCCCTTTCTTCCACTCTAAAAATCAATGGAGCCCTGCTGGCATGGCTCAGTGGTTGAGCGTCGACCTATGAACCAGGAGTCACAGTTCTATTCCTGGTCCGGGTGCATGCCAGTCTGGGGTGTGCGGAAGGCAGCCAATCAATGATTCTCTCTCATCATTGGTGTTTTTCTCCCTCTCCCTTCCCCTCTGACATAAATAAAAATAAAAAAAAGAAATCAATGGAAAAATATACTCGGGTGAAGATTAACAAAAAGTAATAATAATAAAATCTTGCCATTTGCGACAACATGGATAGACCTAGAGAGTATTATGCTAAGGAAAAATTAATTAGAGAAAAAAATACTGTACATTTCACTTATGTGTGGAATCTAAAAAAACACAGATGAACAAAGACAAAACCAGACTGATAGAGACAGAGGAGGGGGATAAGAGACTGGGCGAAAAGGGGAAGGGGACTATAATATTGTGATAGGTTTGCACAGTGGCAGATGATCACTAGAATTAGTGGAATGGGTGGTCACATCGTAAGGTATAAAAATGTCCAATTACTATATTGTACACCTGAAACTAATATAACCAATACAATATTATATCAATAAGGCAGATTACAAGTTTATGTAAGCTAGAAAGAAACCAGTACCTGGCCTAATTTAGGAGAATGATGTGTAATGTAATCCCGTGTCTAGGTCAGGTTCTTTTATATCAGGAACTAGCCCAAATGAGCTTTTAGTGCAGCGGTTCTCAACCTGTGGGTCGCGACCCCTTTGGGGGTCGAACGACCCTTTCACAGGGGTTGCCTAAGACAATCCTGCATATCAGATATGTACATTGCGATTCATAACTAGCAACATTACAGTTATGAAGTAGCAACAAAAATAATTTTATGGTTGGGTCACAACATGAGGAACTGTATTTAAAGGGCCAGAAGGTTGAGAACCACTGTTGTAGTGTCTCATGAACTCCACTGTGTCTTGTATACAAGGCTGGATGAAGGTAAAGTTGGATTTCTGCAGGGACAGAGACTTGCTGTTAGTCTCAAAGGCAAAAATCAACATTTAGAAGCTCACTTTTGAAAGAATATTTTCAGCTAACGTTTATGCTTCTCACAAATAGAGTTTGAAACAGCCGAGACACTTCTAAATTCAGAAGTTCACATGCTTCTGGAACATCGAAAGCAACAGAATGAGAGTGCAGAGGACGAACAGGAACTTTCTGAGGTCTTCATGAAAACTTTAAACTACACAGCTCGTTTCAGTCGTTTCAAAAACAGAGAAACCATTGCCAGTGTCCGTAGGTGAGTGCTAAAAGAAGTTTTAAAAAAAATACATTTTATTTTTATTGATTTCAGAGAGGGAGGAAGAGAGAGAGAGAAAAAATCTGTGATGAGAGAGAATCATTGGCTGCGTCATGCACACCCCACCATGCACACCCCACACTGGGGATCAAGCCTGAAACCCGGGCATGTGCCCTGACCAGGAATCGAACCATGGCCTGGTTCGTAAGTCGACACTCAACCACTGAGCCATGCCAGCTGGGCTAAAAGAAAGTTTTTGTTAATCCAGACTATTGGACATGTACAGGTAGAATGCTATTACCCACCCCCATCATCTCGAGGATTAATGTATGCAAAATAATTTGTCAAAAATTAAAAATTGCTTATAAGGCCAGATTTCTCTTTCGCTACCTTCTTGCATATCCCAAATCCCAGTTACCTCCTTGCAAAGTAACTATTATTAGCAGTTTGTTGATAGCCTTTCAGGTCTTTTTTCATGCATTCATAAATATATATGTATATATGTATATATGTGTATATGTATATATATTCGTATATATGTATGTATGTATGTATGTATGTATGTATATATGCTGTTTTGTATTGTAAAAAACAGCATTTTGGCCCTACCCAGTTTGGCTCAATGGACAGAGCATCGGCCTGCAGACTAAAGGGTCCCAGATTTGATTCTGGCCAAGGGCACATGCCCTGGTTGGGGGCTCGATCCCCTCAGTAGGGGCCGTGCAGGAGGCAGCCAATCAATGATTCTCTCTCATCATTGATGTTTCTATCTCCCTTTCTCTCTGGAATCAATAAAAAAAACAACAGCATTTTGTGTGTGTGTGTGTTTTGTTTTGTTGTGACTCCTCACCTGAGGATATTTTTCCATTGATGTTTAAGAGAGAGGGAAAGACAGAGAGAAACATCAATGTTTGCTTTTCACATTGGGTTGGATGTGCCCTGGACATAGTGATGTGCTGGGGAGTATTGAAGGCCACAGGAAGAATAGCACGTCTTCCCAAAGGGTCAGTTTTTTATTGTTTGTTTTTGTTAATCCTCACCTGAGGACACTTTTTCATTGATCTTTAGAGAGAGTGGAAGGGAGGGGGAGAGACACAGAGAGAGAAACATTGATGTGAGAGAGACACATCGATTGGTTTCCTCCTGCATGTGCCCTGACAAGGGTTGGGATGCAACCTACAACCAAGATATGTGCCCTTGACTCAGAATCGAACCCAGGACCCTTCAGCTAGGCAGATGCTCTATCCACTGAGCCAAATCGGCTAGGGTTTTAAGTGTCAGTTTTACTGGATAGTAGGTGATTTAAAACATTTGTATGGATATCAGCATATTTGGACTAAAAAAATATATATGAACTAGAGGACTGGTGCACAAATTTGTGCACTGGTGGGGTGCAGCTGTTCCACCCCAATGGGGGCCATCAGGGGCGGGCTGGCTGGGGTGAGTGGCCATGGG